CCCGCGACACGACTCTAGATAAGCGGATGAAAATGGATGGATGGATGGATGGATGTCACATTTCATTAGTCCACATAAAAACCATTTCCATGATAAGAATAGCCTTTTTTCATACTCTTAATAACTGATTAATGTAGAGCAGAGGAATGCAATAGTGTGATCTAGATTAATTATGATAGATTTATCAGCTTTGCTTTCCCAATTACAATATACATTGGTGAAATCCCTGCGACACCATTACTAGTGATATTGCCCTTTGAGTTTCATTATGAACATTATTAAAAGAGAGTTTTAGATGACTAACACAAATACTGGTGTAGAAAAGTAAGAAGTGACTTCTGGATCAGGGACATCACGAACAAAGGTCAGATGTTTAGGTTCAGAATATTTGACCAAAAATGGTTGGATGATAATGCAGTAAGATTCTGTTCCCTGTATGTGGGGAAAAAAAACTAAAGAGTAAAGGTCACAAAATACAAAAGACACTTGTGGATTGATGTGAAAATCAGTGACATGAAAATAATAAGCTTGATAGTTGGTTGGCTGCTATGCTATTTAAACTGCTTTATAAATAAATTGGTATGGTATGGCCATGAATTATGACAAAACAACATATTTTATCCATGGATTTGTCAAAGGTGTGGCTCACTTGTCTAATAAATACATTTGCAGTGGTCTCTAGTAGAAATTAATGCCTTGTAAGCCGTACTTGGGGCAAAAAATGCCTAGAATGGCTTGGATCAACACAGACAAGTCTTTAGCAACAGAGAGTACACAACATTGCAGGATTTACAGTCTCATGTCCTGATAGTTGGACATCTTTCCTCAGATTAGATAAAAGCAATGTGACTTTACCACTGACTTGCAATGTGGATGTTTTATCTCCACAAATAACACAAATAATGGAGGAGGTCTTCTGTGTGGTGGAGTTGCTAATGCTAACGGTCAGCTTCTACTAGATGGGCCGTTGGTTGCTGTTTCCTTGACGCTAAACCCCGTTGCAAGACAAGATGGGTGAGTCCATGAATGTTAAGTGACAGTGTGAAGTAGATCTTCAGGCTTTTCATATCCTAGCGTCTCATCACCTATTTTCTATAGAAGCTAATGCAGCAAGCAGGTGTAGGAGACTGTTTCATGTTCGGCTTGCATGAAAAACCCACGGTGGTGTCATATTGTGGGGCAAGAGTCTAACCCAGGACATGCAGAATCAGAGTCAGAGTCGGGTTGTTTGAAAAAATAATAATATTTATTGACAAAACAATGAACTAAGAGCGCACTGGAAAACCAGCAGGTGCAGAAACGGGAAGCAGCATCTAGAGGGGAGAGGAACAGGGGTGAGTATGGAAGTAGTAGTATGGTAGGGGAATTGCTGACGGAGGGACTTACGGCTTAGAGAGACGAGACGTGTGTGGGAGGGGTGAGCCGGGGTAAGTCCAGGGAATGAATGTAGAGCGGTTGAGGTGAATGGTGAAATTGGATCCGGACCGGGGTGGTTCTGGAGAGGGAGCGAGAGGTGGAGGAGATCGGGTTGGCACTTGGAGGAGGGTGAACCAGGAGACGAACCAGAGAATAATCCAAAACGGCGTCGGGAAAAATCCTGATGGTAATCCAGACCTGAGGTGAATAAATCCATAAAAAGTATCAATCCAAGTCACGAGAGAAAAACACACTAGAGAAACTAGAGCTAGGGATAAGTGAGGGCTAGAAACTACCAGTCAGTGGCAATCATCCGGCGTCGAGTCATGTCCACCTTCCTGCTTATAAACCGGCCTGCTGATCAGCTGATTAGAAACAGCTGTTGCTCCCTCTCCTGAAACCAAGCACTCAGAGATCATGAGAAGATGAGAAGAGTACTCACCCCAGCTCATGACAGGTGGCTGATTATATTCAGAAATAATCTGTTTAAAATTGCTTTTAAGTCAACCACACCTTAAATATTTACATTCATCTCAACCTCTTTATGTAAGGCCAAACCATAACTGAAACAATGTCATACTATATCAATGGATCCCAACAGTTTTCCATGAGGACACCCTTTGCCTTCATCCAAGATGAGCCATGACCCCTGACACTAACTCCTTCACACATTTACACAATAAAAGTGATTAATTACATCACAGTTATTTGCACAAGCAGCAGCAGTTGTATGTTTTTGTACTTATTCTCCTTTTACACTGTAGCCCATGTTATTTAATTTTATAAATGTAATGCTCACAAACATAAGTTTGGTAAGCTCACAACACAATTTTAGGGATTCCTGCAATCTCTAGTGACTCCAGGCTTGGACCCACTGCTGTAGATAATGTGTTTCTGTAGAAAGTCTTCCAAAAAATGTATTGTACCATGTTTTGTTTATTTATTTATTTGTTTATTTATGTTTTACATTTTTGAAATGAACCAACAGTACAGAGTACTCGGGTTTGACTCTAAAACGGTTCTTCCTCAATCAGAACTCTTAACTGTAATACAAAAAGTACAAAACAACGTGCAAACAGGGAGTCTACAGCTTCCCAGCTGAGCCACTGAGATTAAATGGCCTGCAGGTCTTTCCGTCTCCACTGTGAAGGCTTTGGTCGTCACGTCATGTAGCACAAACCTACCGTCACAACACCAAATGTCTTCGAAATTCATTAGGGAGCGAGCTTGTGAAGAATGACTGAAATCTGTAAATACCAAATAAAGCTGGAAGCATCCTCAGACATATCCGACACACGACAAATAGTCTCTATGTCTTCTCGTACCGCTGTAATAGCTGGCTAATTCTCCAGAGCGGTGAAGCAGAGTGCTTGACAACATCATCTACTGTGACAGGCAGATTGTGTTTTCACGTGAGCATGATCGACAACAGATTGCACTGAGCTCAGGCTGTTCCTGTTTGCCCTGGAAATGTGTTTGTGTTTATCTTTTTTTTTTACTTGAGAGAGGCATTCCTTTCCACTTCTCTTTCACCCTGTTACCAAAAAATAAAAAATAAAAATAACACACTTTTTTTTAGATGAGCCATCCTGTGTGTGTGTTTGAGACAGCATCTGTGTGTGACACATGCTGTAAAGCGGCTGCCAGGAGAGGCTTAAGAAACAATCCAAGCAAGATCAATATCAGCAAACCGCACTTATGTGTTTGACTTAACATCCAGTTGCAGCTTCCCCTGTTCCCTTTAAACGCCAAACCTCACAATAAACTGCATTTACCCAGCAGCCTAACGTGTGTGTCTACACACTGTGACATATTGTAATTGCATAATGGTTTTGGCAATTGTAAAATATTTTTTTTCCAACTACAGGATTTGATATAACTGTCAACCAACACTTTAGCACACATGTACGCACACTTCTAAGAACATTGAATTCTACTAAATGTGTTTAAGGAGTAGGAGCGAGAACCCAAAGAGCTCAGCTGGGATTAATGTTTTTGTTCATGGTATTTAGAAGTGTAGTTTACTCGTTTATTCAATACATTTACACTGTTCTCTAGTGTAAATCAATACCTTATGAGTCTTTTAAAAAAAGAAAAAGCTGTGATCCTCTTGTTCTGAGATGCAGAGGTGGGCTGAAAACAGCAGGATTACTCATTATTATTAGCAGAATGTGCACACCTCACTTCTGATTGGCTAACAGAATTCATTCAGCCATGTTGCAAAGTCACTATCACCAAGACATTCCCCACACTCTCTCCTCGCTGCAAAATAAATTGAAAATATCTTCCCGAGAGCGGGTGCGAGCCAAGATGGGCGAGGCCATGATTGCAAATTCACTGTGTGACATAGATATGTGAGAATTTTCAAATCCTCGAATTTCACCGTCAATTTCTATTAGAAGCTAATGCAGGAGACTGTAGTAGGCAACACGTTCTCACACCTGAAGCATCAAAAACTGATGCTGGGTGACCAAAGGTTTGTTTCCGACGTGTTTGGAGCCAACACGCTGTGCCAGTGCGTCGGTTTCCGACGCCCACGGTAAAATGGAGATTTCACCAAATTGTGACCTTTACCCTCTTGCTAATTAACCTTGCCCTCACCCCCATCCTAACCTTAACCCTCTTGTGCTTTCAAAACTTTGTTCCTAGTTGTAGCGTCCCTCTCCAACACAGTTAATGGGAAGTTTTAAATGAGCAACAGGGTTAAGGTTAGGACGGGGGTGAGAGGAAGGCTGATGTCGGTGAAATGTGCGTTTTAACACAGGCGTCCTTTTTCAACGCTTCAGGTGAGAGGACGTGTTGATGTAGGGGACAATTTCCATGTTTAGCCTGCATGAAAAACTCAGAGTGACCGATTATAAACAGAAACTATGATTATTTCAGTAAACCACACCTTTAAGAAGATATGTGTGTCCTATCAAAACATGGATTCGATGATGCACATTGCAGCATACATGAGTATTCAGGCTTTGCCTTATTTCTATTGAGTGGAAAACCGAGCAAAATACACAAAAGGTCTTCTCCTTTGCATTAAATATATGAGGAGAGAATGAAGCTGTAAGTGCTTCTCTGCCATAGTTTTATCCCAGCTGACTAGTCAGGCAGTCGCATATGAATATGCATGACCCAACACTTGCCTTGTTTAATGATTCCAGCACATTCAAATGTATTCTCAAACTCAAATGTATTCCTCTATACGCACACAGGCATTAAATGCATACACACATGCAGCTATTACAGTATAGTTATGCGTAATACCTTATATGTTCCATGCAAACATTGCCTATTAGGTTCATCCTTCCTTCTTGCATTTTCCCACTTTGTTTCTTCTACTATAGGTGCCGATGAAAGTCAACCGTTGCGAAGACTTAAAGGATCTCTCCGAAGAGCTGCTGGCAGACTGCGTAGAGAGCCAGGGCAGGCAGAACTGAAGACGACGAAGGAACACTGAATGTGGTACAGTCACAAACCCACTCATACATGCCAATGTGTCAACGGCAGAGTCTTTGCAAATGCATGTTGTGTACAAAAAGTCAGAAATGGGGAAAACAAATAAATAAAAAAATGAGATTGTGAAAACTCGACTTGTTTCATGCACGCTGATGTGCAACGCCATGATATCTGCCATGTTGCATTTATGAAGCGACGGTGTCTAACAGACTACACCCTATCGATTGTTATGGAGGTCTGAGGTCCAGAGGAAGCGCTATTAAAGATTAAAGGGTCAGGTGATGTGAAGGTGGTATCCAGAGTCATCAGACACCAGCGGCTTCAGTTACATGCTGTAATGTCCGCCCGTCAAACAGATTATCCTGCCTGATTTATTTATTAACCCATCACCAAAACCCCTCCTTCATTTCCTACCCTGACTGCTTTACAGCGCGACTGGATGGCAGATTTTCATTTCCAATTAACAGATAATCTCCAGTAGGAATATTTTTTGTGTCAATCCTCACCACTCTCAGGCAAAACTCGCGTCTTTTTGCAAAGACACATCAACAAAAACTAAAGTTCTCAAGTCAAATGAGCATATTAGGCACCATTCGAGTAAAATCTTTGAACTGATACAGCAACCGTTTAATTGGGATATAATGGAACTCTGGTATTACAAGACACTATCAGGGACGCACATCTTCACAGAAAGCCTCTGCACTCCCTGTCTTATCTGGAGTGGCAAACACACTGCTCTAATTGTTATCTTCACACTAATAGAGTGAATGTTTTGAAATCATTTGGCGGGATGGATAAAGACTTCCAATGCTTACTGTCTTTGTCATGGCTTATCAGACAGAGCTGGAGAAGTGTGGGGAAAGTGTCTGGGAAAGTAAACAGAAACCCCAAAATACTGTTTAGATGTGTTTTACTTACGATAAACAAGATGATCTGATTGCTTTTTAACGAGGTTGAATTTATTTTATCTGTCATTAGTTTTTATTTGCAATAATTCTAAAAATGTCAACTTTTAGATTCAGTTTCTTTGGGATCTTTAAGGGCAAAGATTTTGGCTCAGCTGTGGTAAAAAGATGTGTGACGTGCATTAATACAAACAAGGAGAAATCCAATCTGCCACTACAAGATCTTCAACTTTGGCAGCTTCAAAAACAAAAGTTGGCTGCAGACTTCATTGTTTTAATGCGCGCGCGCTCTACTGGTTGATTATTTAAAGCAGACTTCAACCCATTATCTTCCTCTGGTCCTTCCTGAGTCCTGGTTAATTGTGTGTCCACGCGATAATAAAGCATTAAGAGCCATGCCTCGTTCATTAAAGTGGAGTTGGGAAGTGTGAGACCGCCCCCTTTCAGGAGTAAAAAAAAAAAAAAAAAAAAGATTATTGCTCCTCGCAAGGGGAGAGAGGCTTTAGGGAAACATTCGGTCGGAACAGAAACAGCGCTTGAACATCACTCTGAAGCTCCGGCACCACCTCCACCTCCACAGCCGCTCCACCGAGTCCCTCGCCGCTCACCGGCACCTTGCGAGAGAGAAGAGGCGCTGCGTCCTCACCGCCTCCAGAGCAGACACTGTCCGATCACAGAGGGTGGGGGGAGACTGAGAGAGGGAGCAAGAGAGAGAGAGAGAGGAGTTTTCTCTGATATTATACAGACTCCCACCACGTCGCTACTGTGCGTTACTTTTTTCACCCCCTCTCTCCCGGCGCCTTCTGCTAAGTTACGCTCCTGGATTTTAAGTGCGTCTCAGCGAACTCCGTCCCCATCAGGCAGCGCGGCTCCGACCTTCCTGGGCCAGACAAGCCGGCGGAGCGCCTCTTCTTCTTCTTCTTCTGCGATCTTTTCTCTTCAACCAGAGAAGATTTCACACCAAACAAAGTAAGTACCGATCGGACACTTGACAAGAAACGCACCATCGTTTTGTTTACCTTTTTATTTATTTATTTTTTCTTCATGAGAGAAACTTGATGGGTGGATTCGCGCTGCCGATAAAATGTCCTAATAAGTCGCGCGTGTATCGATTTGTTGTGACCTCTGTGGACTCACGCCAGTGACAACTGTGTACTATAATTACAAGGTGACATCAAATAGCAGGTTCAGGTCCATTAGAAGATACGTCTCTTATTGTCTTTGGTGGTGTTGCAGCTGTGTTGACCTTGTGCAGCTTTCTCACGTCCACATGCAGGCGCACAGTCCGGAACCTCTCAAGAAAGGCTGAAAAGTCACCTTATTTTCATACTTTTATTGTGCGTAAAAGCAAAAAGAAAACAAAACGTTTACTTATACATACTTTTTGCGTAAAGTTTGAAAAGAAACTTCAAAGCCCACAAAGGAAAAGATTTAAATTTGTCTATATTGCTTATGAAAGCCCACTGATTATAGTTAGGTAAAATACCAGGAAAGCGGCAGCCTTCCACATAAGGAAGACTTTTTAGCGCATAGATCTAAATGAAACCACACCACAGACAATAGCTGGCAATCATTTAAGTATATTTTCAATAATTCAATCATTTTCTAATTTTCCACACACTTCAATACATTCACCTGCATTAATCTGGAGTGAAAAAAATAACTGATTCTGATGACAAATCAATGTTTTGGAGAATATTTCCCCCTGTTCAGGCTGAGCCACAGTTTCTTCCCTCCCCATGACTTTGTGATTGAGATTGACTTATTGTGCAACTGTAAATGTCACATATTTACAAGGTGCAGCTGAATTCAGTCTGGTGGCTCAGCTGGACCTGTTGCATTGAGGAGATTAATAAGGAGACAACGTAATTAACTCATGATAACTTTTGCAGCTTGCTGAAGATTTAGAGCTGGAGATCATTTGTTTCACATTTTAAGTGAGAGGAGAGGAGGCCCAGAGATGAAATGTGAGGATCAACTTTGGTTTCTAATAATGTTAATAATAAAATCACTCTTCCTTTTAATTAAATCCAACAGTGAAACATGAAAAGTTACAGTAAAAGAAGCAAGATGTGGGTGTGAAATATTAGTGATTTACTTGATTTATTTTGTAATTAAAATATATATGTATAGCTGTAGGTTTGCCGCAAAAATAACAGAATCAATGCATCACAGTTTAGGATTTATAATACTTGTATATAATTAAAAAGTGTGTCACTTTAGCGATCATAAAATATGATTACATGTTAAATTACACAAGCTTGATATGTTTGTCTAAAGCGCACTCAAGAGCTCATTTGCCTTTAAGAACATGAAAAAAACTCTTTTTAAATTAAATGCAGCGTTAAAATGTAATTTTCAAATTTTACCTGAATGTTGTGTGATATGTTCATGTTTTTGTGTTCATTTTTAAAAGTTAAGTGATACATCTATGAAAAACAGACTCAGCATTTCTTCCTCTGACCATTGTCAATGAAGCTGTTCTGTGTGGCGCTCTGGCCTGTTGCTCTCTGGGGACTTAGCGTTAGGTTAATCCGCTCAGAAGAAGGTGAGCAACTCGCATGTGGACCCACGATTACACACACAGGGCTCTGTCATCCGAGCTCTGTAATCTCTGAGACCCTTCATGCACACACACACACACGCACACACACACACACCTTTAGAAGCATGCATGCACTGACACCCACACTCTCACGGCCTGCGCTGCTTTTGTTTCTCTTATTCTCACAAGTCCTCCTCTACCTCTCGGCAAATCATTTGGGATTTTGGGGCGTTGATTCACAAAACCAACCGTGACAACACACTCTCACCCTTCTCACAGAGAGGGATTAGGAGGTCACGTGTCCCTCTGATTGGCCGGGGCATTGAGCCGATTGTCAGGGCACTTTGCTGTACACCAGGGGCTCAGCACAGCTTTAGTTAAGTGAGAGGAAGGGACACATTGAATTCTATAGTGACAGTTTTGCAAGTTTTTGTCATGTGTTGTGGAAGTTCTCAGTTGTTGTGACAAATATCTTCATTCATTTTGCACCAAAAGCCCCGACTTCACTTCTGAGAGTTATTAAATGTCAAGAGTAAATCACCCATTGATTCTGCACCAAAGGCACTTTTCTAGATTCCTCCTTCATGGAAAACCTGATCTGTAAAAACATTTTTCTTAAAAGGAAACACCAAATGTATTTTTGTTTAAGCAAATAGTTTAATAGCCCCCTTTTAAGTTTTTTTTTTCCTCACTAATGGGTTCAAATATTTTGGAAGGAGTTTACAGAGTTTGCTCAGTTAAACTGCAGTAAAACATTTATTTGCAGATAGCTGAGATCTGGGCCTAGATATCGAGGAACTGTAATTGGACTTCATGCCCTTTGGCTCAAATAAATAGGTAACACGAGAGCCAATTGTAGACAATTATATTTGCTCTAGATTATGAGAATTATAACTTAAACCACCGAGGGTGTACCCAGGATAAAATAAAGGAGGAATATTAAACAATTTGTCCAGATGTTATGATTTATTTTCCTTTGTTTGCTTATTTGGCAGCAGGTGAAAATACTTGTGTCTGACAACCCCGGACACTGTTATTGTTTGTTTTGTTTTTGTTGTTTTCCTGTTGTTCCTTTCTGGTTTTTATGCATGTCATAGTTCCAATGAAACATGAATAAGGTAACCCTCCTCACAAGAAGTGCACTTATTCCAAACTTACCTTTTTCTCTATTTTCAAACTGTTGAGCTTTTTTTTTTTCCTAAATGCAAATGTCATAGGAGTTGGGATCACACATAAAACTTGGGGGGGGGGGGGGGGGGGGGGGGGGGGGGACTGAGTGTCAATAATCTAAAATAAACAACACAGTCCTTGAGTGGCTTATGGTGGGTTGAATGCATATATTTGAATATGTCCTGTTTTTTTGCATAATGATGCAAAGTATTCTTCTGTCTCTATCTAGTAATTAGCAGTGACGTTCAGCAACTTTCTGTGCTGTAAGTGGATGTGGTGTATGTGTGAGTGTGTGTGTGTGTGTGTGGGGGGGGGGGGGGGGGTATGTTCACTGGAGTGTTAAAGATCACAGAGGAATATCTCAGCCTTTGATGTTTAATTGTATTGTAAAACACACTTTAGAATATTTCTGCATAAAGTAGACTTCTAGCTGTGCTGTGCTTTTTGTTTGTCTGCCAGTGTGTGTGTGTGTGTGTGTGTGTGCGCATGCGTGTGCATGTTTAGTTTTCTGCCTGTGTGTTTGTGTGTGTTTTTGCCTTGTGAGGTTGTTGCTGATGTATATTCAAATGAAATTGCATGTTTTTCCTTTCTTTTTTCCTCCGTTTTCTTCTCACTCTGGGTTTGATTTTGATGTCTGTGATGATGGAGCAGTCTGGAAAACGGTATCAATGCGAGGGGCTGATAAGGCAGACTGAGAAGAGCGATGCACATGAAAACTAAACAAAAGACGTGGCAAAGATACAAGATTCAGGTGGGGTTGCTCAAGAGCAGAGCAGCGACACGTTTGGCCTCCGATCAGCTCATTCGTTAAGAGAGAGTGATGCTTGCTGATGTCACTCTGATCTAGATGGACAGGATGTCCTGCCTTCTTCTTCATCCTGTTTCCTGTTTCCTGCCCGGGCCTGTTGGTCATTATTACAGCAGCTGCACTCTGGGTGGTCCACGCTCAGCGGTGCTGACCACACAATCATATCGTCAGCTGGAGCCCACCTAACGAGACACCCAAAACACCTCGCCATACTTGAGGCCTGCTCTTGGAAATATTTGGACAGTTTGAGTCCTGGGAGGTGAGAAGGCTGGAGGAGTGCAGGGAGCAGGAGGACTTTGAATGATAAGTCTAAGAGAAACATTTAGAGCAGAGCTGATGTAGGACGTCTTTGTCCAAACACCGGAGGGTTCATATCATACTGAGAGCCTCAATATCAAAACTTGGATGACAAAATAAAAGCTGAATCGGAGGTTAAATATTTAGAAATTAAATGGAATTTGTTTGAGGGAGAAAGGCTTGCCATGCATCAATGTAAATGTGGGAAAAAGAAACAGGAGTGTGCTGTTAAACCACTGAACCTGAGATATTTTCAGAGCATGACACCCTCCTCCATATCTCCCTTTGGTGTAGGACATGTTTGGAAGACATCCAGTACCAACGAAAAAGTAAAAGGTGCAGAGAAAGAGAGAGAAGAGAGAGAGAGAGAGAGAGAGAGAGAGAGAGAGAGAGAGAGAGAGAGAGAGAGAGAGAGAGAGAGAGAGAGAGAGAGAGAAAATGACTGAGGAGGAGAGGGGAAAAAATGTAAAAATGTCTTCCAGCGGCTGCAATTTATCTTTGTCACAACTACAACGTAGCCGAGTCATTCCACAACAGAGTCCAGAGAGATGACACAGAGGCAGCTCTGTGCCGTGGCCTCACGCAGACTCAGATCCACCTGAAGCCTCGCCGCTCAGTCGGCCGCCACAATCCGCAGCGCCACCGCCGCCGCTGCTCCACATCCACTGCTGCTCCCGAAGCTCAGCCTCACTTTGCTGGTTGGGTATTTTTAGCAGGTCTTGTGTTCACACGCTGAATTCACAGGAAAATTACCAAGTCAGGCTTTTGCGTGAATCTTGTTGTCATGAAACAGCGTGACAAAAATGTCCAAGTGACTGTTGATTAAACTGTTTCCGTCTGTTCTGATGGAGTGTTTATAACCTCAGATGCATGGGCTGTAGCGTTTCTTTAACTCCAAAGAGACTCGAAGAAATCTGTTACTGCTGCTCTGAAAAAAAAAAGTGCAACTCATCTTAACCAGACAGTGTCCTGCCAAAGTCCACACATGTGTTCTTTTCCAATGTCATCTGCGCCATTCCCAGCCCAAAGGCCAGCATATAAAATAATGTGCAGCATAGGCCCATTGTGACCACATGCATCACTAAGCAGACCCAAAAATGGAAGAAGAAAAAAGTAAAAAAGGCAGGCGGGGAAATGGAGAAAAAAGTG